ACAAAATCTGTAAAACTGTATAAAAAGGAGTTATGTGAATAAAGAATGGCTTTTTTCCACCAAGAAGAAAACGGAGTCCGTGTAATTAATTCCCAAGGGAGCCTCTAACCCCGCTTCCAGCCGCAGGGGTGGGTCACAACGCCCGGGCACACCGGGAACGGGGCGGAGCAGCGGCGGTGACCCGGCCTGAGGGCGGCACTGCCCCTGAGGGCGGCTCTCCCCCTGACCGCGGCACTGCCCCTGAGGGCGGCGCTGCCCCTGACCGCGGCACTGCCCCTGAGGGCGGCACTGCCCCTGACCGCGGCTCTCCCCCTGACCGCGGCTCTCCCCCTGAGGGCGGCTCTCCCCCTGAGGGCGGCACTGCCCCTGAGGGCGGCACTGCCCCTGAGGGCGGCACTGCCCCTGAGGGCGGCACTGCCCCTGACCGCGGCTCTCCCCCTGAGGGCGGCACTGCCCGTGAGGGCGGCACTGCCCCTGAGGGCGGCACTCCCCCTGAGGGCGGCACTGCCCCTGAGGGCGGCTCTCCCCCTGACCGCGGCTCTCCCACTGAGGGCGGCACTCCCCCTGAGGGCGGCTCTCCCCCTGAGGGCGGCTCTGCCCCTGAGGGCGGCACTCCCCCTGAGGGCGGCTCTCCCCCTGAGGGCGGCTCTGCCCCTGAGGGCGGCACTCCCCCTGAGGGCGGCACTGCCCCTGAGGGCGGCTCTCCCCCTGAGGGCGGCACTCCCCCTGAGGGCGGCACTGCCCCTGACCGCGGCACTGTCCCTGAGGGCGGCTCTCCCCCTGAGGGCGGCTCTGCCCCTGAGGGCGGCTCTCCCCCTGAGGGCGGCACTGCCCCTGAGGGCGGCGCTCCCCCTGAGGGTGGCACTCCCCCTGACCGCGGCTCTCCCCCTGAGGGCGGCGCTCCCCCTGAGGGCGGCTCTCCCCCTGAGGGCGGCTCTCCCCCTGAGGGCGGCGCTCCCCCTGAGGGCGGCACTCCCCTGAATGCGGCTCTCCCCCTGAGGGCGGCGCTCCCCCTGAGGGCGGCGCTCCCCCTGAGGGCGGCACTCCCCTGAGGGCGGCACTCCCCTGACCGCGCGCACGCGCGGCGCTGCAGCAAGATGGCGGCGGCCGCGCTGTGCTGGGCGCTGAGGGCGGCTCGGCAGGTCAGAGCGATTCTCTCCCCTCCGTTCCTCTCACCCTATTTCCCCGCGTCTCTCCGGAGCCCTGTCCGCCCGGCCGAGGCGCCGGCGAGCGGGCAGGGGAGGTTGCGGGTTGTGTTTGAGCGCTGCGGGCTCGGCCCTGCCCCCGCGGCGCGGGGACATCGTGGGGTCCCGTGTTCTGTAGGGCTCGGTGTAGCTTGGGGCTTTTTGTGTGTCTCTGTGAAGAGAACTTGCTAACGCTTTGTATGAAGTTCAGAGTAATATATAGTTCAGCACGGAATCTGGAAACCATGAAAGCTAAAGCTCTCAAGGCATCACTGTTAGTCGCCAGAGAGAGGAAAGATCGGCGCTGCCCCTCGTGAGGAGGATGTGAACAGCGGTGAGGTGACAGAAGTGGAAGGTGTGCTCCAGGTACCGGAGACACAGGACCCCAGGGAACGGCTGGAGCACTGCCAGGGGAGGGTTAGGCTGGAGACTAGCAAAAGGTTTTTCCCGAGCACTGGAACAGGCTCTCCAGGGAATGGTGACGGCCCCAAGGCTGCCAAAGCTCAAAGGCTGTTTGGGCAACACTCAGGGACATGGTGGGATTGTTGGGGCCAGGCATTGAACTCGGTATTTGTTGGTCCCTTCCAACTCTGGATAGCCCATGCTTTATGGAACTAACAATTCATACTTGACTAGGGCAAACTACGTGCAACAGGCAGGTATCACAAATTTTATTTTTTTTTATCAGGTTCTTCCCTCATCCTGCCCAAGGCAGGTGCGGAGCTACTATGTGGACTGGAGGATGCTGCGGGACGTCAAGAGAAGGAAGATGGCATATGAGTATGCAGATGAGAGGCTGCGGATCAACGCCATCCGGAAGAACTCCATCCTTCCCAAGGAGCTGCAGGTACTGCCAGCTGCCTGTACTCACACACGTGCCTCTTGCTGCTGCGGTGTGCTCAGGGCCACAGCGGTCACTTTATAGACCCAAACAGCTGTCCCAGGTCACAGATTTTGTGTTTCCCCAGCTCTCAAGCACAGAATCTTGCTCTATCCCATAGTGACTTCAGCCTTTTGGGGGTGTTTACAGCATGTTCAACTGACTGGAGGTTGTGGGCATTGGGTTTAGGGTTTTCTGAAACAAGTGCTTGTGGAAGCCGCATATATAACACTAAATACAGTGAAGTCACATGCATATACTGCCCCTAACATAGATTGTCAAACCTATTTTCTTCCAATAATTCAGAATTTATTTAGAAATCTGAATGCCTGATCTAGCCCAAGCCACCAATCTGTGCAGTTAGAAGTATTTGATTTTACTTGCCTGATCTACAAGCATATGAAACCTGCATCAGATCTGGGTGTTAAAACTGTTCTTAAAAACAGACTACCCTGCTCTCAGCCTGCCTTACTAAGCACCACAAATATTTGGATATATCAGATTATTCCTATGTTTGATCTGGCCATGAGAGTTACACATCCTGGGCGAGAAAGTGTATGAATTTGCTTTTATATATTGATTTTACCATTCTTGGGCAAGTCTGACTGGTGCTGAATGTTCTTATGAGGCAAAACCAATACAGAAAAAAGCCCCAAAAGATCCTGTAACACCTTCCAAAGAACCCTATATGAGATCCCTTCTACTGACAGCAAAGCATGCTACCTCAGCAGGCAGTTAATAAACAACATATATTTAAATTTAGCTCATCTGAAGGGACTAGCCTACCCTGCCACAAGAATGCCAAGTGTGTTTTGACTAACTGTAATTCCTGTCTTGAGGTTATTTGGTCTGTAATAAGATTAAATCTCGGGTCTCTTAGAGGGCTAGCCCACCCTGGAACACGGACAGAGACAAGCTGATTTGACTGGTTAAAATTAGTGGCTTGACACTGTTTTATCTGTGTAATAGGATTAATTTGGGGGTCTCCATGTGGATCAGCTGTTTAATTCACTGTTGGAATGCCCAGAGAGGGTGGGCTGAGTGAGGTGAAAGCTCCCAATTAAATAGCAAAGCTTATTAATGAGGTGGGAGAGAAACTTGTGATGGTACCTACTCTATGTCTGGATTGGAAGGCCCCTCTGGATCCCAGGGAACACAGATAAACGTTTGTGCTCTGGTCTTGTTTCAGGAAGTGGCCGATAAAGAGATCGCTGCCCTGCCCCGGGACAGCTGCCCTGTGAGGATCCGGAACCGCTGTGTCCTGACATCCCGCCCTCGAGGGGTTAAGCGGCGTTGGAGGCTCAGCAGAATTGTTTTCCGCCACTTTGCTGACCACGCTCAGATGTCCGGTGTACAGAGAGCCATGTGGTAATAATCTCCACGTGGATGTGCATTCTGGCAGAAGAAACAAACCAGGCTCATTTGTGTGGGTAATTAAAGCAAGACTGTCCTGCCTCAGAGCCCAGCATCAATGTCAAACTAATAAGGGAAGGATGAGAAGTTGTGCTGATTCATTAAACTCACTGGATTACAATCGATATCAGCTGACAAGCAGCAGCACAACTGCACTGAACTGGTGTGCATGAGAGGCAGTTTGATTGTGAAAAAAAATCAGTACATGATGGTTGCAGAACTAAGCTGAGGTTTGTGGTATGGGCAATATTAGAAATAAAGACATACAGCACAAGGCTCGTTTAAGCTTTTTTTTTTTTGTTGCCAACATACGGTAAGTTCATCACGGTAATTTGGGTAAAAGCATCAGTAAAACTGCACAACAGGACAAAGTGGTATTCTGCTGTGAACAAGGGCAAGCACAGAGTGGGAGTAAAACATGGCTTCAAGTTTAGATACTCTCGCTATGCTAACTCAATATATATGTATATTAACGAGCAGACAAAGTGGCTAAAGGACCTGTTAGAAAGTACACTGTGCTGGTATTTCTCCTGTTGGTAGTGCAGCACTCGGTCCCATGCTTCAAGAACGAGGTGGCAAGGAAGCCCTAGTCCAGACCCTAACAGGAGAGTAATGGCTTCCTTAATTCACAGGTAACAACAAATCTGTCCTTGGGAGACACATGAGAAGGAGGCAGGAAGGACACAATTAACAACAGGCTTGCTGCTAAGGTCATGTTTGCCCTGTACTCTTCTTCAAAGCACTGCAGTAAACGGAGGGGGCAGTGGCTGCTACATCCCCCTCCCCAGCAGGGGCTGAGAGGCGGCAATAAAAAGGCCAAATACCACTAGCAGGAAACTGACAGCAACCCATCACACCCAGCTGAGTTATATTTTGGTGTATAAGCCATCTTAATATACTTACTCTCTTACCTTAAAACCCTTCTGAAGTTGATGGAGAAAGTGGAGCTTATCCCTTGTTTCCTACTTTACACTGCTGGAGCCAGGGCAAGCTCCCTGTCCCTGGTCTCCTGCTGATGACTGATGCCATCTCAAAGATGGGCTCGCAGTTAGCCCAAGCACTTTGATTTCCAAAATTCATAGTAATTAGACAGGAATAGTTTCTGAGAGTAATCATTAAATTTGAATACCACAGGATTAACACCATATTGTTTCTGCTTAACTATCAAATGCTTAGATGTTCTGCTTTCTTCAGCAGTTCTCCCTTTGTGACATGCTTTATAGTTCAGCACTTTCCCATTTTTAATCAGAAAGCTGCACCCCGTGAAGTGAGCGTGACGCTAGCCCCAGCAACCACACGGGTCTGGCTGCCACTGGCAACAGAGGCCTTGACCCATCCTAGTTTAAGATTCCTTTACTGTTACATTCTGTTCTCAGTCTCACAGTACTCCCCACTCATCTGAGAGGCTTTCTCAAGGAGAGCAAGGCTATATGGCCTACGCTTCACCCCTCAGGAAATGCTGAACCACTTGACTGACAGAAATGCTTTATAAGCTATTTTATTTAAATATTTTCTCCAACCTGAAATGGAAATGACTGTCTTTGCTTGGAAGAAGGTTATGTAAACGATGATCTTTGCAGCACAGCGTGTCTCACATGGAAGATCAGTTTTAAGGCGGCCCTTAGAGTGCTTTCAGATATCCATTGGTATGTCCCCTTTGTACTGCTTTTCTCTGCTTTCAACCCAGGCCTTATTGATGGTGCGCTTCATCTCATCGTCCCCTTCCGCATACATCTTTTTTAAAATGTTCATAAGCCCTTCACTAGGATCTGTGGTGTCATAGGCAGCCTTCCTGCAAGACAGATACATGAGAAATTCAGGTATACCCAACAAAATTAAGTGCTAATGTTTGTTTGAAACATGCTGGTAACAGGACTTTTGCTTTGGTAAAGTCTTTAGATCATGGTAGTCTCAGTTGGCTTCCAAATAGGAAGAATCCTAAGAAACACCCTTAAACCAAGTGCAAGCTGAGTAACATACCTAGAGATGTCCCATGGGGTGGGACAGTATTCTGATGTGAAGCATTTTGCAGTAAACGTGACCTTGGAAGCACTCCCAAAATTAACTGTAGAAAGCAGAAGTGAAATATAACAGACACAGAAAAGTGCCAATACCTGCCACGTGTTACATAACAGGTAAATAAAAATGGAGGAATGTCCACATCAGGCTCTTTGGAGAGACCACATTCACAACCCAAAAGGCTTTTTTTCTGCTTCCCATTTTTCACATCATCTCCAGCAGTTAACTGACGTAACACGTTACATTTCAAAGCAATTTTCTCAGGTGATTAACAGTGCCACAAGCAGTCAGCACCCGTGGAGGACATGGCCTGTTTGACCCGACTATAAATAATGACCTCTCTATCCCATTTTCCAAAATCCGGTAGGTAGTCCTACTGCAGTCTATCTCAAAAGCACAGCAGATGAAAACCGATCAGCAGAGGGAGCAATTTCCTCACGCTCAGGGCTAACCATCGGCTGCACAGACCCTGGCTGGGAGCAGCATTTCTGGAGCCGTTCATTTGACAAACAGTAACTCTTCGGGAATTCTCTGCACAAGATACAGGTTTAACAAA